AGAGAGAGAGAGAGAGAGAGAGAGAGAGAGAGAGAGAGAGAGAGAGTTTAGGAAAAATGGTGCGCGCGCGCGTGTGTGTAATAAAATGGACTATGTGTGTGTACATAACTGTCCATTTTTCCTAAATTTCCGAAGCGAACAAAACGTTCACTGACAATAGCAAATTATATATGGCATGCTCTGTACAAAATCGGCTTAAAGACATTTATTATCGACAAGACGCTATTAATGTAATTATATGCGCATAATTTGTAAGCGCGTGTAAAGTAATTTTTTTCTAATCTTGTACCTCTTTTTGTAATTACAATGTACATACATATATACACACATACGTGCATATATACATACATACATCATACATATTACATACACATGCATACATATATAGTTAGTGGGAGCTCCAAAACGGATATTTAATCGATGCATCGGTAGATCCATTGATCAGTAAGCATTACTACATCAGCGAACGTTACCATTAATTGCTGAAAAGGATGTCTCTCGATCAGGTAAATACGATTATGTAATATAATAGTTGAGTCTATCAGATGAATATTGATTATGCATTGATAGTACATGTATATTGGCTGAACAACTGTAAAAAATTTATTGGATTATACAACTGTAAAAAAAAGAATTGCAAAGTCATTGTAAAATGCAGCCGGTGATTTTGTTCTGGTTAATTGTGTTCCTTTTTCTTTCGTATTAATTATCGATGTTTCAGAGTGGCTATTATTTTAATTAATCAATTTCTACGAATTTCGAACGAAGGCATTTTGCGTTTAAATTGTTCGTACACTTTGGATTTGTGCAACTATATTTCTCGTGCGAATATAATTTTGTGCTAAGTATGAAAAAAAAAAAAACAATCCGACCTGTGCAAATGACAAATTTAGAAAAAGTTTATTCTCCAAGGAGAATATTTTCCTAACGGACAATTTTTCAAGAGATTAAGAGATTAAATTTTGTGCAAAGTCATGATATTCATTGGCAATATTCATTAGCAATATTCATAAAAAAAATAAATGCAAAATTTAAATATGAAATATTAATATAGTATTAAACATTAAATATTACATATAATTGCAAACATATACATACGATAACTAATGTAATTAAATGTGATTGTATACATGATTGTATATTCGATTTTATAGAAATTCGAGCAAGCAACAGAAGCTGTAAAAACTCTTACTAAGCGTCCTACTGATGAAGAATTTTTAGAATTGTACGCATTATTTAAGCAAGCATCAGTGGGAAATATAAATACTTGTAAGATATATGCATTATTTGATACTCATTATATAATATATATATATTAGTTTGCATAAGACTTTAAGCGATTACTACATTTATATGAAATAATTATTTTGTACAGCCAGACCTGGTATGTTAGATTTGAAAGGGAAAGCAAAATGGGACGCGTGGAAATTGAAGGAAGGAATGTCGCAGAACGATGCGAAAGAAGCATATGTTAAATTCGTTGACACATTGGTAGAAAAGTACAAATAAAATATTTAATTACTTTGTCATATGAATGCGACAATGTTACGTCGGTGGAATACTTTATTCAATTTATTTACTTTATTGTTTTTAAACAATATTTTGAAATAAAATGATATATGTCGATATATATTTATTCTTTTCCCATCTTTTTAAACTTAAGTATTAAATTGGTTTCGCTTTTTTCAAGATCTGATTACTTGTGCGTTTTATATTTCGCGCGTTTAGGAACGCGCGTCGGTGAAATGTCGTTGTAATCGTGTTCATTTTTAAAGTTGCACACGTATCTATCTTTCCCATTCGATTCGTAAACAATGTTTAAAATAGATATTCGCGCGTTAATTCCAGCCTGTTATACTACGTGATGTGTAAATGCACAAGATAGAACTTTACGTATCACGAACTTTAATAAATGTCGGATAAATTTGACGTTACGCGAAAATGGTTATCTCAGCCTTAGACAAAGATACCGTAAAACTAATAACTACTACTCAAGTTATAACTTCTGTATCTACTGCTGTAAAAGAATTGGTAGAAAATGCATTGGATGCCGGTGCCAAAAATATTGAAATTAATTTGGTACCACATTTATTTTCTTATTCAACGCACATCTTGCTCTTTGACAATTATGCCATGTATTTCAAAATTTTAATGTAAAATGTCTTTTCCCGAGATTAGATAGATAATGGATGTACCTTGATAGAAGTGAAGGATGATGGTTGTGGTATTTCAAAAGTAGATGCTCCTTACATGACTTTATCATCTTATACATCAAAACTAAATAGTTTTTCTGATTTAGGTACATAATTACATATTTATAATTTATAAGAGGAAACATTTACACATTAACATTAATATTTAATGTGCCTCTTTGTCTATGATTATCCTGTTTATAGATTCTTTAGAAACGTATGGATACAGAGGCGAGGCTTTACATGCACTAAGTTCAGTATCTGACCTTACAATTATATCAAAAACAGAACAAGATGAAGCAGCTATATCTTATACTATTGATTGCAATGGACATGTCGTGAATTCAATACCTTGTCACAGACATACAGGTATTAAATCAATCTTGTTTTATTTAAAATTTTATAAAACACAAATTTTTTTTTAGGAACAACTGTACAAGTTAAGCAATTATTTAAACGTATGCCTGTGAGAAGGCAAATAATTACAAATTTAAAGAAAATCAATCAGGATATTAAAGCTTTGGAGTTCTTAATAAAAAATTACGGCATGTGTAAATATTTTGTACGAATAAATTATAAAATAAATAATAACATTATATTTGCAAAGCCTAATACAAGTAGCCTTGAAGAAGCAGTTACATATATCCTTGGTAAAAAAATAACATGTAACATGAATTGGATGGATGTTATAGATATGGATGTAATTACATAAAAAAACTTTATACATTTTTTTATTTAATACTTTGATTTGTAAAAACTATGTTTACTATTTTAATTTATAATTATGTTTCAGATTAAAATAAAAATGATGGTTCCTTCAACAGGAACACATGCAGTAGAAGTATTTCAGTCTGGAGGACAATATATTTTTGTCAATGATAGACCAATTAAATCTAAAGAATTGGAAAAGGTATACATTTATATATTTTATTAATAATTAATATTTTTTTAAATTAAATTGTGTAGAAATTAAGAGTCATTTTTAGGTAACAACTAAAATAATTCTAGAGGCATTGGGACAAGAATCAAGGAAAAAACCAATATTTCTTATATATATTTTAATAAATGCAGCAAGTATAGATGTAAACCTCGAGCCAAATAAAACTTGTGTATTTTTTAAAGAACAGGTAGATATATTTGAAAAAATAATCATATATTGTTTTAAGAATTTATGTGGTTTTTTTTTATATGCACAGAATATGGTTATTGATATAATAGAGAAATATTTAAACAATTTTTATGGAATAGAAAGAGAAATACAAGCAGAAAATAATTGTGAAAGTTCATTTACTAGTTATCAAGATTACACACAAGAAATAAATGTTAACAATGCTGAAAACAAAGCTCCCGCATGTAAAAAGCGAAAAATATGCGTAGAAGAAAATTTTGACAAACCTGTTGATGAAAACATAAATATTAATGAAAATATAACAAATAATTTAATTTCTACCGCGATTAATAATTCCGAACATAAGCAACGAGCACAAATTTCTATAAACGTGCAAAGTTGTTCTGATGAATATGCTGAAAGATGTGAAAGAAAAACAGACGACCTTGATGTTCAATTGCCATCTTTAGATTTAAGTGATTCAGAGTCAGAAAAATCAATTTTAGCTAATTCGATGTTAGTATCTAAAGTACAGAATAAAAAATAAAAACGTATGTCTCTAATAATAATTCAGATAATGTTTTATTATAGTAACAATAATAATGAAAGAACCACTGAAGATACTCCACCGTTCGAATTAACTCCATCGTCTGAAACGTTCAGTCAGCTACCAATAGTAGACTTAGGCGATGATTTCTTACTGCAAGATTCTTGTGATATAGATGTAAATGAGAAAGAAAACAAGGTGGAGACTGCAAAGTCAGAAATTTTGCACACAGAGAATAAATTAGATATGAAAAATCCAATTACATTAAAAGAATGGAGTAAAGGACACATATCTGGTTTGCAGGTAATTAAATAAAAAATTTAATTAAGAAAATTACGTGAATTATATTTGAGATACTTTTTGTAGGGAGGCACGGATGTAGAACCTTGTAATTACATAGAATCGAATGAACTACTAAACATCGATACACATACAAATTTATGTGCAGGTTTCCTTAAATTTTCAAGATCTATCAGGTCAGAAGGTAAAAGTTTAACATAAATAATCCAATTTATTACGTACGGCATGTGAAAAAATGTGCATATTAAATCTATGTTTTTATTTTGCCTAGTGGTGGGAAAAAATCCTACTATGACAGCACCGCAAATTGCCCATGTAATGACCAGTCTTTGGAAAAAGTTATCACCTGAAGAAAGGGGGTATTACAGAGATCTTGCACGCGAGGAAAAGTCCGAGTATGAGGAAGATAAACGGGAAGCAAAAACAAAATGTACCATAGATATTAATAAGAATAGAAATAGACTGCTAAAAGCATTCGAAAAAATGAAGATGATGAATATGGAGAAGGAGGAAAATTTAGTCATGAGAACTATTGTACCTTGGGATATAAATTTAAAGAAACTTACTGAACAATTTTTAAATAAGTAAGTTTCAAAGATCATCGCAAAAGTATGACATTGTTATTTAACATTTGATATTATTCAACATTGTAGTTCTTCTTGTGAAAATACTAATGCTGTTGTTGGACTATTACGTGAAAATTTATGGATTATTCATAAATCTGCGCATATTTGGATTTTAGACGCTAGAAATCTTAGAAAAAAATTACAGGTGTCTGATATGAATACCAACGAGGTAAATCGGACAATAATCCATCAAATAAACAATGTTATTCTTTTTTCTCATATATACATATAAATTCTTTCTGTTATAGGATAAAGCTGAGAATATAGAGGAACTTCTAAAACAATGGTTTTCAATGAAAGATGATTTGTCATTATTACATCCTGTACATTCATTAACGCAAATTAGAAATAGTCTTTAGTGTATATCGTTGTAATGAATATTTAAATAATAATCCCGTTAAGTTTGAAATAAATGCATTCCTTTGTTTTTAATTTTTAATTTTGATGTTTGATTTTAATATTAGCCAGTAATTTATTATGACTAACGATAAATATGATTTATTATTCGGTATGGATAAGTTTCAATTTTTAATAATTTAGATGATTCCATATTAATTTCTAATACCCTTTTCACGTTTCATTCATAAAAATATAATACGATAGTGAATAATTTCAATTTAAATTATTCCCAACATAAAATTACTACAAAAGAAATTCTGATTGGTCAATATGTACAAAGTATATTAAAATATTTTACTAGACATATTCTCGAGTTCTGCCCCAATTAAAGTTAAAAATTCTTTCGAATAAGAATGAAAGTTTCTTGATTAAATAAAGATTGGTTACTCATAGACGATTGCAATATCCGATGTATAATTAGTTATTGTCATAACATTTTTTTCATCGATATTTTAGCGAGTATTGGGGACAGATTTTTTATTACTATGCAAAGGGAATAATATTCGTATAATATCGAAAAGTCAATTTTTAATTTGATTTCAATAGTCCTAGCTTGCAATTAGAATACTAAACGACAATATATACGAATAATATCTTAAAAGGTTAAGTTGATAATTGAAGGAAGTAATAGTCGTAATAAGGTTTGATTGAAGAGACGGTTGAAGGTTGGAGATTTCAATCTATATATTTGAAGTTTGTGGTGGGTTGTTGGCTGCCATCTTGAACCTCGATCGTTTGAGAAGCCGGCCGCCCGCAAAAATCTTTGAGTTTCACGCGTTCGCGCGGCCTCACGTATCTCGTAAGCAGGTTGCGTGGTTTCACGACGAATTTCGAGATCTGTTGCAGTCAATCTGATCAAGATTCGTCTCCGGAATGCTTTAGGTGAGTCGAAAATAAGTTAACATTAATTTCCTGATTGCGATGGCGTGTGATTTATCTCGTACATGTGTGTTCGTGCCTTGTGCTTGTGCGTGTTCTAATCCCTGTTCGCGATAGTAAATTAATTTTTACTTAGATTTTCGCCTTTCGGTGAAAATATCAATCTCTCCCCTATGTAAATTGTATTCGCATATATGAAACTGTTCTTTTGCTAAATCGTAACTTTGAACCACAGAAATGAACTGATAATGTTCTACGAGTTCACAATCAATAGACTTCTAAAGAATATGCAGTTCATTCGTTGTAATCGGTCAACACGTTTTCAAATTTATTAATTTTCTGTGTTAGGACTCGATTTTTTCTTTGGTTAAATTTGCTTACTGCCGTGTAATTATTTTTTGTTGAAAGTTGTTTTGATCCTTCTAACCATATAACTTCTTTTTCTAATTACATTCAGTTAAACGTTACACAGATACATTTTCCAATACAGACGATGACGGATAATTTATCAATGAATTTGTTAATATTTTGCAACATTTGTACGTAAAAGTAATTACACTAGGTAGTTTCAGCATAAATCACTAAAGCATTTGTATCTTTTTTTAAACGTATTGTTTCACTTTCACGTTGTAAATATCATTGATTTTTAATTGCTTTAACAGATAATTTTCAGTTCGTCTCCCACGTTGAAATGCGGTGTAGATGTATTTAAATAAGAGAATTCATTCACCTATATTATTCATCATCACCGTTATATGTTCCTTTAAGTTAAGTCAAACAAGAAGTATATAAGAAACAAGTGAGTGTTGTATGTTTAACATTTATAATAAAATATTGCACTGTAATAATAATGACTTATAAGTGTATATGTTGAAAGTATAAATAAATGTAAATGCAATATTGAATCGTCTTAATAAATACCACTATCATTGATATTTTAATGTCAGATTCGGTTTATGTACGAATGTAAGTTAATGTTTAGCAAAAGACCACCACACGTTCAAGCATTGATTAAAAATTTGTCATATTCTCTTATTAGCGTAAAGTATGTTTAATCTTAATATGATTTTTTTTTTTAATGACCCAGGTGTATATTTGTCCTCGCGCATTTGTAACTGGGTGAGTGAAGGATATAAATTAACTAGCTTTTGTAATTTTTCGATAGACAACAGTGAAAGAATAGCAATCAGCAAAATAAATAGTAGTAGCGATATATCAGAAAAAATGGCACTACCCAGTAGAGCGCGAGTCTACACAGATGTGAATTCACACAAATCCAGAGATTACTGGGACTATGAATCTTATGTTGTCGATTGGGGGTAAGTGTACAGTAAGAAGTTCTGCGTATTTTTATATAAATATACTTATGTTTGTATGTATGCATATATTTTTCTTATTTTGCTTAATCACATAAAATTGTTTGTTATATAGACAACAAGATGATTATCAACTAGTAAGAAAATTAGGCAGAGGAAAATATAGTGAAGTATTTGAAGCCATTAATATTACAAATAATGAAAAATGTGTTGTAAAAATTTTGAAGGTAAAAAAAATATGAATTAAGCTTTGGTAAATTAATTGCAACTATGAAGAAACTGCAATTTTCATTGTGATTTTGATATTTAGCCTGTAAAAAAGAAGAAAATAAAAAGGGAGATTAAAATCTTAGAAAACCTCAAAGGTGGGACCAACATAATTACACTCCAAGCTGTTGTCAAAGATCCTGTATCTAGAACACCGGCACTGATATTTGAACATGTGAACAACACAGATTTCAAGCAATTATACCAGACGCTAACAGACTACGACATAAGATACTACCTCTACGAATTATTAAAAGTGCGTGTATTGTTAAGTGCAATGGAACCAAGTATCAGTCCAATGTGAATCTTCGAGATTATTATTTTGATAGATGTAGGTGCATATTATGGGTTCAAGGAAGAGTTCGAAAATATTTCATTTATACAAATTCATTTTTTCTGTTTCCATTATCGTTGTTAGTTTTGCAGTACTGGCATTTTTAGATGTAGAAAAATACATTTGATATGATTTATTTTATCGTAAAAAATTGATATTATATTACTATTAATAAGTGTTTTTATCTCTTTTAATGACATGGTACATGAAATGAATTTAAGTACTTGAACGATTATAAACTTTCTATTCTTCTTTCTTTTTTTCTTGTATTTTAGTAATTATTTATTATCTGGTTTATTTTGCTTGCGAAGTAGGACATAATAATCTCAAAAATATTTTGTCTCGAAAAGTTTAAAAGTAAATGTAATGATAAACGAAAGTATAATGTGATAGTTTTCTATATAAAAGTATAGAAATTATTCTTCTTTATTTGTTGAAGTATATAAAAAGAGACATTAGTTTCAGAAATTATTAAAATTTTCGGACTCATGAATGTTTAAGTAAGTAACGTACTTGTGACAGTGTTTGATATCCATTTTGCATCTATAGTTGTGTAAGATATAAAACGATAGAAGAAAGCATTAATGATGTATAAGACGTGGTTGTCTCCTGGTTTTGTCTGTAGGCACTGGATTATTGTCATAGTATGGGAATAATGCATAGGGACGTCAAACCGCACAATGTTATGATAGATCATGAAAATCGAAAATTACGGTTAATCGACTGGGGTCTAGCAGAGTTTTATCATCCAGGTCAAGAATACAATGTACGAGTAGCATCGCGTTATTTTAAAGGCCCAGAATTACTTGTAGACTATCAGGTTTGTGCGTAATTTATTATATCTTTAATTATACGGCACAATTAGTTTGTGGATAACATGTTCCTTCTTCTGCACTGCAGATGTATGATTATTCATTAGATATGTGGTCTCTTGGATGCATGCTCGCAAGTATGATATTCAGGAAAGAACCGTTCTTTCACGGACACGATAATTACGACCAACTAGTGAGAATTGCAAAAGTTCTCGGAACTGAGGAACTATTTGAATACCTTGAAAAGTACCACATTGAATTGGATCCCCGTTTCAATGATATTTTAGGTCGACATTCACGTAAACGCTGGGAGCGTTTCATGCATTCGGAGAATCAGCATTTGGTGTCACACGAAAGCCTTGATTTCCTTGATAAACTTTTACGTTACGATCATTACGAAAGACTTACTGCACGCGAAGCTATGGAACATCCTTATTTTTGTAAGTACTATGAATTGTGGTCAAACTTTTCACCGTAAATTTCTGCAAAATGTAAATGGTATGGTATGTACCTGAAAGACCGATGATTCCATTTTTATTTCTTATTTCTCATCTATTTTAGATCCAATAGTAAAAGATCAAGGTCGATTAAATATGGTATCATCGTCACCTACTCCCATAACAGGTTCGTTGCCTGTAGGTGAGTAACGGCCCAGGTAATGTCACCACCTCAATTTCCAATTTATAATTATTTAACCATATCATTCACGTATTGTTGAATCAATCATGAGAATGTCGTGAATAATCATTCGCATCACCGAATATGATGCCTGATCAATTTGAACATCAATGAAGTTTGTATTGATTCGAATTTACAACTTCTATTTTACGATATTTATAAAAACAAAAGAATGAGATCGAATGCCGAGGATATGAACACGTCGTGTTTTCTATTGCAATGTACGAATACACGCAGTTCTGTTGGCATTCAATTGAGTGCATGAAATTAATTGTTGACATCGTCCGGCATTGTAAAATTTAACTAATTCGTAATGACAAACACCGTACTTGCAAAGTGTTCAAACGTTGAGCGTGGAAACACATTTATGTTGAGACAAATTCTTGTAATATTAAGTAATTCATCAATAAATCTTTCCCATTACGAGTTAGTTGAAATAGAAAAACTGTGTTACGCTTTACGCAAAGTCATTCCAGGCATCTAAATAACAGAAGCATGATGATGTGTGACCGCATATGCGGCCAGAATATAATTTCATCCGTTACTAATACTTTGATCAGAAGTTTTAGGTGTGTGGAATGACCAATGCGACTTATAGTCATATTATAAAGAAAACATATGAAATAAAATAATGTCGGCCGTTAACAACGCAAAACGATCTTCTTTTACAAGTAATACGCCTTTTATTTTCCACGATGCACTGTACTTTAGAATTTCAAATTTTCTCGACTACCGATTTCCTTTATTCTCTTCTCTTTCGTTTTCTTTCTTTCTTTCTTTCTTCCTCCCCCTCCCCCCTCCCCCTCTTTTTTTGAAATAAGAAGATCGTTCCAGATGGTCGTGAAATGTGACTGGAGATGCGACTGAACAAATGTTTGATTTGAAATATTTAAACGATTCAAGTCTATGTCGTTTAGCATCGATTAATCCATGATGATTGGAATAAAAATGTATAAAATGCTGACTTTTTTTATATTGTCGTGTCGAAGAATCAGTTATATAAAGATGCCTCACCGATTATTACGTGGATGGATGCATTTTTCCCTCGATGTTATTAATTGGGAAAAGTCGCACGCACCAGGAATAGTACCTGGAAGAAAATGTTTGATTCCTCCTTGATGACAAACGATGAATATTACAAATTGAATTAATTTATTCGAAATAACGTCGGATCCGGCTAGTTTTACGTAATAGTCTGTAAATAGATTTGGATAAAGATTAATGGATAACGTATACATACAGAACAAAGAACGAACGAGATGTGCAATCGAAATGAACATAGTTTTGAAAAAGAGCATGTCAGGTACACGTTACTTTCAAAAACCATCGATGATCTAATAACTACTAACAGATGCATACATTACATATATACATATATATATGTATTGCGTATGTATGTTATATGTATGTATGTATGTATGTATGTATGTATGTATGTATGTATGTATGTATGTATATACATACACGTTTGTACGAATAAGTTGATCGAACGACAACTGGACTTGAATTGCTCAGTCATTTCAAAGCAGACATTTTTTTAGTCAGTATGCGTATTTATGAGGAGCGTGCGAAGAATCAAACATTTTCATTTAGGTATCGATACTTCGCGCGAGGGGCTTAATCCCATTCCCAAGCGTGACTGTGAGCAGCGTAGCGGTTCATGGAATAAACCGACTGAAAAATGTGATGGGACAAGTTGGAAATGGGACTCAGAAAACGATGAAGTATTCATCACATCCGTTTCATCCTTAACACACGATTTACAACTTTTGATTAGTTACGTACTAAAAGCTGGACCTTCCATTCCACCCAGACTTACAAAATCGGCAAGAAATGTATTTTGTATGACGGTGGACCACTCCTTATGTAAATGGCAATTATATTTTGACGTGGTGTATAAACTTCTATATTTTAGACATTCCTTGTTTTTCACCCTGGCTATTACTTGAAAGAATTCAAGAAGCTTAATGTATCAGAAATCTTAAATGACTGGAAACGAGAAACAAACCAAGCGTTTCAAAACTGCTATCAATTCTGCTGTATTTCAAATGAATCTAGAAACGGAAGAAAGTTTAGAATATTAAAAATGAAGTCTATGGAAGTACGTGCTCTGTCCATATTGGCCGGTGTGCATGTGCGGTTAACAATTGTATGTTGCTTTTCTGTGTCTAATTTTTTTTTTTTTTTTTCCTGGGTAATCTGTCACTTTTGTTGTTTTCTTTTGACGCTGCTGCTAATGTCACGGTCGCGGGAAATTTGTAAAATGCATCAAGATACGATTAGATCATGTTATTATGTCATTTGAAAAAGATCGTCCGTTATTACATGAGACATCCATAACAAAAAAAAGGAACGATGCAAGGACAAAAATCATATGTATTTGCATCTGTAGAGGCGCGTACGACACACACATACACATAGCACATACGTGCTTACACTTAACATGTACCTTAGGCCGCTCGATTTAGTACTTTTAACGATGATAAAAATGTTCGTTTATATCTGATACAATGATAGTTGAATAAAATGTTTGTTATAGCCAAGTACTCTTTGTGCTCTGTGAATACCTGTATGTCCAGTAATAGATATTACCAAGGGGTAATTGATCAAATGGCTTGAGAACACGATATGTCCATACTTTTATGATCATTTCGCCGTTTGTACTGAGAAACAGAGAGAGGAAGAGAAAGATTTAAAAGGAAAATAGAGCACCGTTGAGGGTTTTAAATTTCAGTTCGATTTTCATTAATCAAAATAAGAATTCACAGGCACCTGAAAACACTTGGCGCCACCAGAAGCCTACGTACATGAACCAAATATATACACGCCGAAAAAAATGAAAGAAAAAAAGAAAAAAAAGAAAAGGAAAAAGAAGTATTCGTATTGTTGTACATTGTACGCCTGACGCGCTGGTCAGAAACTTAATGTCAATAACATCCATCAAATCGAACAAATTGTTTTGATATACAGCATTACCAATGTGTTTCTTATAAATTGAACATGTAATTATTTATATACAACCGTAAGCCAATTTAATGTGTACATTTAAAAAATTTACTTTGAGAGAAAGAGAGAGAGAGCGAGAGAGAGAGAGAGAGAGCGAGCGAGCGATAGAGAGAAAAGGAGAGTAACGTACTTTTTAAAAAATATATAGAAATAGGGCACACTCCACTTGTAAACCATGTCCTTTCGTATTATTTCGAAAGAATTCGTCAGTTCCTACGTATAAATTATGCATAAAATACGGTCAATTCAATATATATAAAATAATTTTACATATACATATATAAAATACGTATGTGTTAAAATATGTATGCGTTATATATATATAAATATATAACATATATATAACATATATATATATAACATATATATAACATATATATAACATATATATATAACACATAACATATGTATGTGTTATATACATATGTTATATATATGTATGTTATATATATATGTAATGCATACATACATGCAATATACGTATACGTGTATGTGTGTGTGTATATAAATATATACATACGTAACGTATTAAAAAATGCGCATCCAATCAAGCGGAGTGTGTATTTGGAATCGAAAAACGGAGTATACTTTCGAATATTATCGGCTAAAGAATAATATTCGCTTCTTATTCTGATCATTGCGCCGTTTTTGCCTTATCGTCGTGTATTTAAGGATTTTATATGTATATATATATATATATGTATATTTTATTTTTCAATAATGCATAAAAATATATATACATACATACGTAACGCAGATAGGTGAACATATAAGTGAAAGAAGTACGTATATGTGTGAGATAGATACTGCGCTATAAATGTTAAAGGTGTAAAAAGGAAATACTTTATGTACGAGTAAAGTATAAATACATTTTATTTATTCCGCTTGTAACTGTCGTGTCGTTCGAACGCGACAAATCTCTAATTTCAAGTCACACATACACGCGTGCGCGCGCGCGCATACACATACTCACATGGCAAGAACGGCGCAAATATAATTGTTTGTCTAAATTTGATAACCCTTCCCTGTTCATACGTTAAGTTTACGATAATCTAGTTTAGTTTTATAGGAAAAGAAAAAGAAAAAAAGAAAAACTACTGAATAACTACTATTTAAATCTGCAAATGAATTTAAACAAAAAAAGTAAAGAAATTAAACTAACGAACTGTCACTAATGTAATTATATATTATGCTAAATTTTAACATTGATATTTTATCTAGCAATCGTCGTTTAACACTATTTTGAGAACAGAATGTATTATTAAATGAACATTACTGGGAGAGCCGTTCTTCCGTCATTAATATATTTATAGGCCAGTTTAAAAATTCTTTTCTCCCGTTTCGTCGAAGAACGGCTGCATCCTAATAAAAGAAAGTGCACCTAATTTTCGATCATACACCAAATGTATATCCGAATTTTATATTCACTCATGATAATGCCAAAGTGATAAAGTGAAATTGTTTACATACTTCCTCGTTTTCTGTTTCTCTCTTCGATTTTAAATCTTCTTTTTTTTTTTCAAATGCGGAGTATTGGAACGCAAACTATTCTAATACGGTTGAGGTATGACAATAAAATTAGCCAAAATGCACGGATCTACTTTGATTTGAATTTGATCATTGATCGTAACAGTATAGAAACGAAAAAAAAAAAAGATGATCCATCCTGTATTACACGATCGTATGTTTTTAATGTTTTTTTTCGATATTTACTCTTAACATTAGTAATACGATGGCTAAATAATAACGAAAAGTTACGACATTTTTTTTTTTATGCGGGTACAAAACAATTGTGCATATATGCAGTATAATAACAATATGTATAATTTATAATACGAAATGCTGTAATACTACATAATGCTGTATAAAAATTAATTGAAAAAAGAAGCAAATACAATTTTGTTTGTATTAAAAAAGAAACAATAAAACTTACAATTATTGAACTTTTTTACTGAAATTAAACAACATTTCAAGCTGGTCTTTCTCATCAAAATGTAATTATAATTACACATACGTACCACCGTGTTTTTATAAATTTCAACTTAAATCTTTGTAATCAGCCTTCGATAAATTTAAATAGTTAATTATCGTAACTTGAGAGAAAGAAAGAAAGTATCATGTATAAGAAACTGCGAAGTATTTTTTTAATTTGTGATATACGTGTTGTTCTTGAATAAATCGAATAGGTTATGTTTCTAATTATACAATTGTAATAAACCTTGATAAAAATCAATGTGAAATTCGACTAAATTTCACACTTAAATTTAATTATCAATTATCGTTCGTATGAATAAACACATCTGTTAGTATGTTACGTGTATAAAGATTCATTTATTCCAGCGCGTATAAGCATACCTATGTGTGTGTAGTATGTAAGCAAGGCATGATCTGTCAGCTACAAAAAATCGGCGTGTCCTAGTCATAGTTACGGTTTCATATATAGCTTTTTATTTTTGAAAATTACTTTTAACATTTACAATGGACGAGATTGACGTACTGCGACAAAAAATTAGAGAACTTGAGGGCAAATTGTTGAAAGAACAGCAAAAAAATGTGTTTACAACAAGAGAGAAAATAGAACATATGTCAAGCGAAGTGACTGATTCAAATCCTTACAGGTAATTTGTACTTGCGTGAAACCTCTCTATTGTATTATAAATATTTTATAATTCAGTTGCTTTCTGATATAAAACAGAAAATAAAATTTCTTAACACACTCTTTGTTCTTTGACTAGTCGTTTGATGGCCTTAAAACGTATGGGTATAGTAAGTAATTATGAAAAAATAAAAGAGCTGACAATTGCTATAGTTGGAATAGGTGGAGTCGGTAGTGTGACTGCTGAAATGCTAACAAGGTGTGGAATTGGCAAGGTAACATATGATAGATAAAGTCATGAATGAAGAACTTTTGATTGTTCCTAAGTAACAAATAATGTCGATTTTAGTTGATACTTTTTGACTACGATAAAGTAGAAATGGCAAACATGAATAGACTTTTCTTTCAACCTTATCAAGCTGGCCAAAATAAAGTGGAAGCAGCAGCGACAACATTGCAATACATAAATCCAGATGTAAAAATTGAAACTTATAATTACAACATTACTACGATGGATCACTTTGAACATTTCACGAATGTCATAAAGTATGTAAGAATGATTCTTAAATGATGACAATTATCAACAACATCTACAGTTATTAACAACAATTATTAACAACATCTGAGCGATATTAAATTTTGTTTTTAGCACAGCAAGTTTAGTCAAGGGTCCAGTAGATTTGGTTCTGAGTTGCGTCGACAATTTTGAAGCACGGATGGCAATTAATACTGCTTGTAATGAACTTAATCAGAAATGGTTTGAAAGTGGAGTTTCTGAAAATGCAGTTTCTGGTCATATTCAATTTATAATTCCTGGGGAAACAGCTTGCTTCGCGGTGAATGAAAAGCAAAATTAAACGACAAGCAAAACATTAAAACTTAAACTGTGAAAGTTATTTTATTTTTAGTGTGCTCCTCCATTAGTGGTAGCAGAAAATATAGACGAGAAAACGTTAAAACGAGATGGTGTATGTGCAGCATCTTTGCCAACAACTATGGGAATCGTTGCAGGTTTTTTAGTTCAAAATGCATTGAAATATCTTTTAAACTTTGGCGATATTACCTATTATTTGGGTTACAACGCTATGCAAGATTTCTTTCCTACAATGACGTTAAAACCAAATCCTAACTGTGAAGATAGATATTGTAGGGAACACCAACTAGAATATGCTTCAAAACCAAAACCAGAACAGAGGGTAGAAGAAACAGTTGAAGATAAGCCTCTTCATGAAGATAATGAATGGGGTAAGTGATGTATAGAAAGATAAAATATTAGTGCAAGTTCGACTAAATTGAACGATTGCGCCATTGCAGGAATTACTCTTGTCGATGAACGAGATCAACAAATTGATGAAAAAGTACATAGTGCTTCGCATTCAATTGATTCTCAAATTAATCAAATTCCGTCCAAATGTGACGCTAGTTTAGAGGAACTAATGGCACAAATGAAATCTATTTAATTTTTATTCCTTTACAATAATAATACCGATATTGTATATGCATTCCGTTTATATCTTTCGTATTATTATTTCGTATAAAAGAAAACGAATATATGTTACAGTATTATATGTAATATCGTATACATATGCAACAAATTCATTAAAGTCAGACATCGAAACGTTCGAAACAAAGATTCTGACCCTCTTCCTCATAGTCCTCTCTAGTTACTAGAAGATTTGAAAATCCTGGATCTTTTGATAGTGTTTTACCTCCATGCCATGCGTATGTGATTGGACTGAAAACAATATGTAACAGTAAATCATATATAGATTGAAGTTTGTAGACGTACTAATTAAGAAATTAAGATATTTTATTACTTTTCCGGCAAATGCACGTTTATCCTATATTCCGCAGGTGCTAAGCTTCTTACTTCTTTGTAAATTCTTTCTCGAAATCCAGGAAATTTCGCGTTACCACCAGTGAGAATAATATTGGATAAAAGATGCGGCCACGTCTCTTCGTCGCATGCTTTCAAGCAATCCATAATTGCTTCTGGAATACCCATCTGACGAATACCAACGTCCGAGGGAAAGAACAAAATTTCAGGTATGGCAAATCTTTCGTTGCTCAAACGTAGTGTCTGTTGTTCATTAGGAGGTTCTGGATTTTTGAGAAAACCACGCCTCAACGTCGTGTAATCCGGTAAAACGTAATCTTTGACGATGGAATTATTTTCTAACTTGTTCTTGGCCATTTCCATGTCCTTAAAAAATTCTTGAGAAACAAAACACGAATCCTCCTTCACTTGATTTATTACGTAGGTTTCATCCATCACGTGAAGCTGACGATAGGATATAATTTCTTTGAGATGATTTGTTAGAAGTTTTCCACCCACGTCAATACGTCTTATACCTTCTTTAATTTTGGTGTCGTTTACATATGGTACTATGTGTGTAAAACTATAACCGCTATCAACTACAATACAACACTTTGCATTAGGATTCTCTACCTTATATTGATAACAAGAGAGAGTAGAGCCATTGATTCTCAAAAGACTTTGACATTCGTACTCTTCGAAAAATATTTCTGTCATAGCTTCTTGAACGGTTGAGAAATTAAACAGAGGCTCGGTTACAATTAGAGAAAGCTGACTCAAGTTTACCAGGCAACATTCTTTAGAGAACATATAATCCCAGACGGTCTTCTGAACGTCCCAGTTGACGAGATATCCCTTTTGAAACGGCAGGATGTAGAACAGGCCAGAGGCATCTCGACATTCTTCGATTTGATTTCCTACAAAAGGTCTCCGCCGTTCGCTTTTCGCTTTCATTATGCAATTTGGCACTAATCTAAAACAGAAAGAGTTAATTGCTGACAAATTCACACTTTTCTTTTTTTAATTTCATTGTATTGCGATCATTGTAACTTACTTGACATTGTCAGAAGCTAACCCAACTTTTGCGATGTAGGCACCGTTATCAAGAACAAAGGTAGAATTACTCATATCGATAGTGATTTTATAATAAAGTGAAATCCAATTATTTCTTCATTCGTTGTTGTATACACGTAACAGTTAACGTGTTTGAAAAATATGGATTAAACTAAATTTCATTCACCGGCAAATTTGAAACGTTTCGTCATTAACTAACGAGAGTATAGATCCGACACTCGATGCTTTTGTGTCGTCAATGGTTACGTGCATGTGTAATGGCTTAGATTAAAAAAATTACTTTTCCATAATTTACAAATAATTTTTGAATCATTCCCAAATGCCGGTACAATCAATCCACTCTTTGAAAAAAATTACTATATATTACATATATTAACATGCATACTATATATTGCATTGTAAATATGTAATTTTTATATGTACATTTTTGTTTAAATCTTAAGTGATATAAAATATATAAAGAAAAAAGATTCGCGTTTCAGTTACACAAATGAAAGTACAAAACATCACTGATTAAGATGACAAAGTTGCTGTTATAAAAATTTTACAAATTAATCTTTTTCATTTTGCAAATCAAAATTTGATCGATTCGACACCGAACAACACACTAGCGCCAGCGAAACTGTGGAATTAATCGCTGCTGTTGTCCACGATTCAATCGATTAAATTTTCAATTGCAGAAAGAACTAATTAATCGGATTAATTCAGTTTTTTTCCTACATTACATTTAATTTACAAAATGCACGGATAAAAATTTTCACTCTTTCCAATTAATGGAATCATTCGCTCAAATGAAGTATCCACTTCAAAACTGTAAAGTTTGAGTCAATATCGTTCGTAAAGATGATTAATAATATGCATAACAGTTTTGAATATGAATCGACTTTTTATTTGATCGATTAATTATTAATAATTATTGCAGATCACACTATTATCACAGAGAAGTTAGTATTATCATAAGAGTTTAGTATGAGATGCTCCTGGAGAGCATAGTATAGGATAGGAAATGTATGAAAATGTATTCATTGTATTGTACAATATTGACATTGGAAATTTCCATACCTACACACGTTATATATACAAATGTATATGTAATAAATTTGATAATTTGTGATATGGTAATTAGCATAAAACAAGGATAAAAGAGAGCAAGCACAATGAGAGGTCGTTTAATTGTCGAGTTGGCAGAGAAGAGCCAGCCCTCTTTTAATCCAATGACTGACAGGATAGTTAGTACTCAAGAGGATCGACAACACGTAATTGGTAGAATGACCTGTTGTCTTGAGAACACCAAAACGCGCAGAAGTTATGTAAAGAGGGCATTCGTATCGTTTTTCTATATGAATAGAATCCACTACGCTTGGTTTCATCCAAATGATTGGCATAGCCTCCCAAAGAATTTTTGGATAACTTTCAGCGAGTAGCATGCTTTGCATGTTCCATCTTGCACCGGCCAAATACATGCCATAAACGTAAACACCATCCACTGGAGATTCGTACGATTCGTACGTAGGAAGTACCTACAGGGAATAATGAAAACATTCAACACTATTTTTATATAATTACATTCCAGGTATGTTGCAACAAATAAAAGAAAAAAACCTCGAAATTAAAGTCAATTCTATCGATAGGAATCTGGTATTTTCTTGCAAAGTTCTGCGTCGTTGCCGTGAGAAAGGCATGCACAAATGAGAACCCAGATATCCAGAACGTTTCCGGCTTGTCTTCTGTCAACCATTTGCGAAAGAAGCTTAACCGGTCAAGGAAATCGTTGATGAAACTTGGCAACGGTTTCAAACTTGGATAAGCACACGCTTGCACCCAAGACGACGGGATTCTCGCGCTCAATATATGACCAGCTAGAATCTAGAATTACAATATGTATATTTCGAATACGTTTCATCAATTTATCCTGCCCGTTTAATCTTGCAATACCTCTAACTCGGGAGTCATCACTATCAATCCTCTCACCGCTTTTTCCAGCATGTCGAGAGATCCTCGAATTTCACGCAAGAGAACGTTATACCTTATCAATTCCTGTATCAAAACGGTATTCATGGATTCCATGTACACGATTGGATAACGCTTTTCCGCTTCCTCGATATCAAACGGTTCGGGCATTCTGTCGTAAATGTCGCTTTTTACGTTCAACAACATTTCGTCCTGTTTCGTAGTATCGCCTATCGTCACTGCTCCTTGGATTAACATCATGGACAGAAAGAATTCATTCGTCAGTTCGAGATCTCGGGTGATGCCCGCGTTCATGTGCAGTCCAAGTGCCTCCGGCGACGGGTTTAAAGGAATCCCTTGGATCTGTTTGATGTAATCTTCGTATTCGTGCCTGTGTGCGTGAAACGACACGTTAGCTTTCGCTCTCTCACTCTCTGTTCCGTGACGGTAGACAAAAGCTTGACAAAGAAAGTAGATGTGAGGAAGTGTACTTTTTTGGTAAGGTATATTCAGGCCCGGTATCCGCGAAAGCATAATTCGGGTCCGTGACTACATTCGGGTTGTAGAAATCTTGAAGTATCGTGTTCAAGCATCTTCGGTCTCTGTCGTCGGTGACTCGGCCACCGTAATTACATTCACCGGTTAAATAGACAATGGCTTTGAAAGGAACTTCCTCGTAGTCATTTATGTAGAGTTGAAGCTGTTGGGCCGATATCTCGAGGTCCGATTCGTTGAAACCTGCAACGCGAAACTATACTTTCTCATTGTCAGTGTTTAGCTGGAATAGTAGGTGCCGCGTTTCGGATCGTGAACGATAAGAAAAGTACACAGTTCCCTTCATTCACGCGGAGGAATCCACGTGCAAACCGAGTCTCTGTCAGTACAAAAGAAAGGAGAAATATTGGAAAGAAAAGCTAGGCCAAAAATCACTTTTTACTAAAATCAATCCATAGTCTTTTTATTGTACATTTAAAAAACAATTTTTTTTTACAGATTCTTAAAACATAATGAAAAAATCACGTTTGAATTTAATAAAACATTAATAAAATTGGGTTTTTCTTGGCTATTTTGATGTTAAAAAAAAAAAAAAAAAAAATAGGTGGAAAGAAACTTTTAGTCCACCCTATATTTTGCGACCGTGTAAACACCTCGAAAGACGGGGTACTTGAAGTACAAATAAAGATACCATATGAAAATAAATACCATATTTTATATTCCAACCCTGTGCACCGTAATTTCGTCTTTCCTGCACCACGGCGTGAAAGAAGCACAAAGCGTAAAGCAACTTCGAGTATGTTCTCTTTTTATTGGGTTCGTTATCAAATGAGTCGACAGTTTTGCTGGCTTCGGACTTGTAGGATCTAATGATTGAATCGAATCCTCGGTTTACATTTAACACTTTACTAGGCCGGCGATATTTCGCATGATCATGCGCGAGTGGCATCTTTTTGTGAAAATAGTGTACAATGAGGATAGAAATTAATAATATAATAAACAACTTTGTTTTATTATGAAGAGGTTCTAAAGATTTGTATACTAAAAACATTAAAATAAATGATAACAAAAATAATATTACTAAACATGTATATTTAATAATTTTCTTTTACATAGTAAGATTCAAAACATTTCCCTAAACGGAAAGATATTTGGTATGGTCATGAACAAAAACCAGCCACATTTCTCTCAAAATGTTGCAATAAACATCTCTTTTTATGACGCCAAACAGGTTTATGAAAAATAAAATTTCTGGCGATGCATAGCACAAAGGATTATTATTTCATGTGCAAACTAAAATGAAAAACGTAATTTTGCTGTTTTTTTTTTTTTTCATGAAAGAAACAGAATTTTCAATATTTGCTTCCCTGACAATACACGATATTAATGTGTTTTAACCCATTCATGCGGCAGTCATTATGTATATCTTGTGGACAAAATGCACTTAGACAATGCAATGTTGAAATAATTGAAAAAACACTGAAAAGCTGACTAGATAATATGATGGTATAGTAGTAAAGAGAAAAATGAAAATATAACGTATTACTATTTGTTAATGATAAATTTTCCAAAAAAAAACTTCTTTAGCAAACAAAAAATTATATGTATGTATGTATTAACAGTTTATTTCAGTATGATACTTTTTGAAACATTTTGCAATATGTAAAGCTACCAAACAAAGTTCACATTCCCAACTAGTTTCACTCCTCTTTTTGTATTTTTTCTTTTTGTAATTTTCACTATTTAGCATCTGTGCTGCATATCTATTTATTTCAACAGCTATCGCGTCCCAATAATCATCCGTCAATATTAGATTGAATAAATCTATTCTAGTGGGATTATCTCCTAATTTTTCTAAAAATAAAGGGTTTATATACCTGGTGTTTCCGTGAAGATAAAACTTTTTGGATTATTATCTTTGGAAACCCAATTCCAATCATTAGCTATTTTTACTTGTTGAGGTTTCATTTGTTTTTATTGAATCCTCGTTATCAGAATCTTCTGAAGATATACGTGTAAAACGTATTTTTTCTGTCTTTGAAGAAAAATCTGTTCATCACTGTCGCTATCGCTACACACTTTTTAAAAATTATTTTCTCGTTTGCCCATGTTTAGTTACAAACGTAATTATATAGAATAATTATCGCTCGAATAGGTTAAACGAACGTTAGAATAGGAATGGGAAAAGACGCTATCGGCTGATAACTATTTTATCGGCTGGTAACAACTATTTTATCGGCTGGTAACAAACGATGCAGTTGGAGCTCACCTCATGATATTGTTCTGCAATCCGGTCGGGGGTTCGTTTGTCATTTTGACACCGTTCTGCAGGATCGTAATTGGAAAGTGAACGGCCGGATAACTGGTGAGCCAGAGACGAAAGTTGGCATGTGTATTCGAGGGATCGAATTGTTCGCAGATGTGTTCCAACACGGGCATCCAAGATGCAGCCAAGTGGCAGTTTTGCAAACACACCCACTCCCCGTTGTTTTGTGCTTGTTCAATCAGCTTTTGGGCGATCGGCCCTTGACCCTGACCCAGGGAGATCGAGTGGAATCTCTCGAGAAAGTTCATGTTCTCGGCGAATGTGGTAAGTGCTGCCATCGGATCTGAGCCCGGGGATAAAATGAAGATCAAAGGTATCAGAGAACTTGACTCTCCGAATGACTTGGATATGTCAAATGGCGGCGGTAAGACGAACTTCAAGCCAATACCAGTTTCGACGAATCGTTGAATCTGAAACGTTTCGGTTACTTGATTACTTGTTAACTCGCATTAAGTACAGTTTAAGAAGAGCTAAAAAATTTAAGAAGAAGAAATGAAAAATTTAATTTGTGATATAACCTTGTAGAAAAGATTTTTTTTAACGAATGTTACATCAGTTTAAATCATCGATGATTTTTCATTGTCATTATAGTATGTATGCACGGGAGAGTGAATAAGAACAATAAAATCTGGTTTACCATGATCATCACTTTGTCGGGTCTGATCATTCTTGTGACGATTAGCTTTTGAAAAGGCGTTAAACTCGTCTCCCATGCGTGTGGTATCGGCGAGTCTTCCGGATTCGGCAAATCGTAATATCGTTTCCATGCGTTTAAATCGCGCACGAAGTCCGACTGAAAGTCGACGAAGCTGGGCAACGCGTGAACTCTGCAAATCTCCCCCCAAGATTTATCCGGAAGCCAACTGGATGCTGGATTTTCCGATATCGCGGCCAATGCGACCCCTCCGGATAGAAAGAACGTCATTTCCTCTCTCGTGATCGTGTTTTCCGATACCAAGATCGTCGTGTACAAGATAAACGAGTACAAAATCTGACCGAGGAGATCAATTACGTGTTAAACACACGATTACAATATCGAAATCTTTAGTGGGTCACGATCACAAAAAGTATCACTCGCACGACGATTTACCTTGTCCTTCTCGAACAGAGATCTACAGACATTTTGATACAAGTTGTAAGTGAAAGTCTCTCGTAGAAAGGCCAGCCTTCTTTCGAGGATTTTACTTTTGTTCGCAGTGTCGATGGAACTGACGTACAGGTTGATGAACCAAGCCAAGGAGAATTGGTACATGGGATCGATGTTGGGTAGATCAGTGATGGTGTAGTAGACAGCTGAACTGTGCCTAGCGATCGGTTTGTAATTTTGTCGGAATCCTTCGATCTGCACCTCGGTTTTCTTCGCGGCAGCCTGCTTCTTCATTATATCGATGGAGAGAATCTTTGACGAATCCAAGATTTCTATGGCCTCCTCGTCCTCCAGGATCCTAGCTCCCGATACCGACAGAGTTCTCAAAATATTGTCTTCCACTTGTTGCAAGGCCTGCCGATTGGCGGCGCTCTGAACGATTAAGTATTCTCGCTTCTCCTGCAAGTCGGGCCTCTCCTTCGCCACCACGATGCCCAACAACTGATCTTCCAGTGCGTCGATCGTTAACGCGAAATTGATCACGGTCACTTTGTTGAAAATCTCCGGCAGGTAATGCGGATTGCGTAGCTTCGTCGTGATGTACAGCCTGAACGACAAACCGTATTCGACTACTTTCTCGCCGAGCGTGACGTACCACAGGGGGCCCATTTTATATATCGCTTTTGTTAATATCGGATCAAGAGCTGGTGGCAAGTCTTCGAGAATGTTCTCCAACAGTACTGGCTTTCCTAGAATAATAATAATGATACTATAGATACACATGTACTTGTCAAGTGAGAAAGTAAGGCCATAATTGAACAGTATTTAACAATTAATGATATTTCGTATTGATACAGGGTGGGCCAAAGATCACTTGCTACTAAATGGAAATCCACAATTATACATTGTATAGGTTTTTTAAATTTCTTTTTCTGCAGATTAAAGATACGCGTTTGAACTTAAATTTAAGACAAAATTAGTATCCTCTTGACGCTTTATAAAACAAAAAGAAACAGATGGAAAGAAACTTTCAGCTCGCTCTATATTTTGATAATTATTTTACACTTAATAGTTCAATTTTATTTCAGAATGACTCGTTACCGTACTCCAGCGCTTGCTCTATGACATTCATGTAATCCGTGTGCGTCAATTTGACGATTTCAAGTTCGTTCTGCTTCTCCATGTTGCGGATCCATTTGTTCGCTTGACTCTGGGGATCGATGAACAGGCTCCACCTCTTCGAGTTATCCATGACAATGGCGTTCTCGGTGGAGAACGAGTCTCGAGGCAGGCCGAATATATTCCAGGAATTGATCTTTATCTCGGTGCCGAGTACCTCGACGAAGTCGTAATCTTTCGAGCACGGTATGTTCAAGCTGTTCACGTGGCTGATCCATTTTTCCAAACTTTCGATGCGGTAGCTGGACGTGAACGGGCCTAGGTACGCTATCATACCGCAGGAGATCAAAATATCACCCGGCAACGTGTCGTAAGAACTCTTCAAGTTCGCCGCTGCGTTTGTCCAACGGTTCTTCTCTCCTCCCAAGCCGCTGATCAATTTCTCCGCCCGGATCAATTTGTTCCTGCAGTTCGTCACCTGCATTAAATTGCAACTGGCGTTTCGTCACGTGCGCGATCCGTGTGTATCCACGTGGGTGTTTGTTACCTCGGTTTCCAACTCGATCTTCCTCGCCAGGGTTACTCGCAGACGTTCGTTGAGAACATTTAGCTTCTCCGTCAACACGGCCAGCATCTCGCGTCTCTCGTTCAAGAATTTAACAGTGTTCTCGTACTCCCGTTGCGCGGCGTCCAACTTTGCCCTCTTCGGCGCGACCACTTTGATCACCGCGTCGTACAGGACCATCGCTCTCACCCACTTGCACAGACCCTCGGCCGCCGACGATGCCCTAGCCACAACTTTTGGCTCGAAGTTCTTGTCCGTCATGTAGGTTGTTTTGATTTCCTGAATAAGATACGAAATGAAATGAATAGAAGATACACGGTCCAATTGAAAAGAATAAAGATAAGCTTGGAAATTTTCGAAACCATACAACTTTTGTATCGAACAATTTCTCATTCGACGCATGATAATTTAAAAAATTATTTCAAGTGTGCAAGCGAATCACCCTGTATAATACTTTATAATATACGTATGTACTTTCTCGGATACGCATTCTGTTGATAAAAATCAGCAACAATTGCCAGGGAAGGGCTGTAAAAATTGTTTCAACTTTGCTAGACAAATTGAAACCTAGTGTTAAATAATAATGATAATTGGCGGTATGTCACCTCCATTATGTGCGGTGGAATGTTGTCCTTGTCGTAATGCCGCAAATTTTCCAAAAATCTCATGTCACCTAGCAGACGTTTGCTCGGGGTCCAGTAGTCGAGTTCTTTCTTGCCGGTGACTGGATCCTCTACCTTGATAGGTGGTATGTCCAGCATCACGCATACCGCAGCCATTACGAGTTTCACGCCAGCCGGAGGACTTCTCATCGTTCTCACAACCGTTATGTCTGCTGGCTTCAGAGTGTCCAAAGCGGCTGCAATGATACGCAAGACAGTGTGAGCTAAATAAGTGGAGAGACACAATATACATACATACATAAGTGCTCGTACAGGAAAGAAATTAATATCACTCTTCCTTCAATATTATATAAATGTGTAATCCTTAGAAATCATGAATTTAACAGTTCACAGGGGATATTATTTGTTATATTGTTGTGACATGGAATACGTTGTTTTCCAAATATACAATTCAAACATAATTCTTATTACTTTGTTATAAATGGTCACCCTTTCTCCCTCAATATTAAATAAAATGTTTGGATATCATTTACTATTGTACTGTTGTGATATCAAATTTGTTGTAATTGTGTTTCCAAATATCTATGCATAAGTGCTTGTACAGGAAAGAAATTAGTATCACTCTTTCTTCAATATTATACAAAATGTTTAATCATTAGAAATCATGAATTTAACAGTTCACAGGGGATATTATTTGTTGTATTGTTGTGACATGGAATACGTTGTTTTCCAAATATACAATTCAAACATAATTCTTATTACTTTGTTATAAATGGTCACCCTTTCTCCCTCAATATTAAATAAAATGTTTGGATATCATTTACTATTGTACTGTTGTGATATCAAATTTGTGATTGTTTCCAAAGATGTACAATTTAAACAAAGTTCATCTTACCTTGTTACAAATGGTGTCACATCAACCATGTACCTCCACAGTGACGCTACTGGCAATAAGTAAGTATATACGTAGATATAATACCTAGTGCCTCATTCAGAGCTGGCAACGCTTCTGCTAAATCCGCCTCGCACTCTGTCTTTAAATTCTTTGCAATCTCGGCTTGCACGTTTGCCATATCTTCGTCCTTCTTCACCATGATCCTCGCGTTTTCAACGCTGATATTTTCCATCTCAATTTTCTTCATTGTGTCGGCGGTCTCCTTGGCAGACGCTTCAAGCTGGGGTCGCAGTTCCGAAAGTACTGCTCTCATTTGACCAATTTGCTCGGCCGCGTATTCTAATTTATCCAGTCCGTTGATGTATCTATCCCTGCGATACGCAAGAAGAAAAGATGAAACATACATACATGTAAAAGATACCTACGTAAGAGGATGAATAGGTTTTATTTATATTTGATCTGTGTTAACTCCTTGGCTACTGCTGGCGCTGATGGCTTCTACTAGATTCAGAAAGCATGGCTTGTCTAAATGACAAAAGTAGGATACTCTTAGCTCCATGGTTAGCAACGTGGGGAGCAATTTGATTTTCTAGGAGAGGGGCCAATTAGAGAATGAGTTATTAACAGTGAATTGTTTATATTTCTTTAAATGAAAATTTAACTTTATAATGTTTTTCTTTCATGGATGATGTGCTCTTTGGAAACTTGTTTAGACCAAGGTAATGGCCTTTTAGGCTTCCTCATTTTTTTGAATAATAAGAATTACATGTCATCAGAGAATTTTGGTCAAAAAAAAAGAAAAAAGGTTGGAGACCACTGTCTTAGCCAAATTATTGACTGATGTCTGATGACTAGTTCCTTGCTTTGATCAAAAATCACTGTGGTCTTATCTGTGTTACACTTTTGACTGTGTTCTACTTTTGTTCTTTTTATCTTTTTTACTTTTGTGTTTCTTGTGTTGTGCTCTGACTTGTGTTCTTTCTCATCTTCTGTTCTACCTTGTCACAGAGGTATACTCATACATTCTAGTATGTGATCTTGTGTTGTGCTGTGACAGTATGATGTTCTCAGAGTCCTCTTTTATATCAAGATCTTGCATTATTCTTTCCAAAGGACTCTGAGGAGATTAGAGAATATGTTAAGACCAATCAGGAAGTATGGGGGAAGTTCTCAAGATGAAAGTGGCAGTTTTGAGAAAAAAATCTCATCTTCTTCTGGAAACTCTTTCATTGCTTGCACAATACTTCAGCTATGCACATGACATGGCAACCCTATGGTGCCGAAGAGGTCATCGCTGATTGAGACTGATTAAATTTATAGATCCTAGTTTTGGAACTATCCTAACTTTTAAAAAAATTCCTAATACGACACGCTGGATTCAGAGCACATCCATGTGACAAGTGCTACGTACCGTTGGCCTTAACGTTCCATTTCGTTCGTCGACGGTGTATCTCTAATATATCGGGAAAAATGTGTACCTCGCGAAAATGAGCGCCTCTTGCTTCTCTTTCATCAGTTCTGTGTAAGTTCGTATCAGATCGAGAAATCCGGCCGTTGTGATGTAAGTTTGCCTACCGGTGCTGTTGTAAAACCGGGCGCTGATGTCCTTGGCGCAAACGTGGAAGAACTTACACGCGGCCACCGCGTTGACCTTCACCTGTTCGTCGATATTGATGGCGGTGGTGCTGCGTAGGGCCACCTGTTCGAGGGCATCCTCCGGCCACACGTCGAACCAGTCTATCGTGCAGCAATTCACCAGGCTCGGATAAAGTCGTAGCCTGATTCTGAACGTGTCACCGATCGGGCTGAAGCACAGCATTATGTGCAGCTTCTCTTTGCAACGGTTCACGAAGTAGGAGAGAATCGCAAGCACTGATATGTCCAAATTTCGGTCGCCACCCTGAGCGGCTAGCCGAGTCATCTCGATTATTTCCTGTCTCTCCTCGATAGTGAAGAGGTTCGGCACCTCGCCCGAGTTTAACAAGCTGTCGATATCGTTCAGGAAGATTTCGCTTTTGATTTGCCCCTCGGTCAGTAGCAACACGAAATCTTTGCCCGCACCGCCGGAGTTCATCAGCACCTAAACGACGCAAATACACGTGTATATACATGCATATATCATAAGTATGATATACTTGTATTATCTGTTATAAGTACATTATAAGTATAGTATATTTCTATATATTATAAGCACTAGTATATTTGTGTATATTATATACATTATATATATTATATTATATATTATATGTATTAAACATATTATAATATAGTATATTTGTGTATATTATACATAGTATAGTTGTATATTATATATATAATACATATACTTATATACTACATATATAATACATATACTTATATACTACATATATATACTACATATATAATATATACCTATATACTACATATATATGCTACATATATATAATATACTTATATACTACACATATATAATACATATACTTATATATACTACATATATATAATACATATACTTATATATACTACACATATATAATACATATACTTATATATACTACACATATGATACATATACTTATATATACTACATATATATAATACATATACTTATATATACTACACATATATAATACATATACTTATATATACTACAAGTACTATATATAGTGCAGTATAAGTAATAAATGTACAACATACTTGTAATATAAAATATATTATAAGTATTATATATAGTATAGTAGAAGTAATACGTGTACAGGATGTGGGTTCATTCAACACTTACTGGCACTTTATGTGTACCTATTCCTACTGTAATAATCTTTTTACCAAAGGAGCACAAAGATAATTCTCAGGTAACTTTAATAAGGAAAGAAAAGAGATTTTTTTCAACGAGGTTTGAACGAAGGAAAGAATGCAGGAATTTGAATGAAATTTTCAGACCAGCCACTGGTACATATTTATTAGTGATTTATCGTTTTCGATCGAAGGAAAGGGGGGGGCGAACCTTCTTTATATCATCGCGCCATTCTTGCAGGTCGTACGCGCTGCCGATTTCCGGCTGGAAGAGGCCGAGATTCGCCATGTTGGCGGCCAATCTCGTCAACGACTGCCTACCGGATCCACCGACGCCGACCATCAGCAGGCTGCCGCAGGGAATCACCAATATCCGACAGATTCTGGCGAGGTGTTCGAGAGCGTAGCGAAACAGGACGATGTCCATCTTGCGTCTGTGCGTGAGGTTGTAGTCCTCGAGGCAAGAGATGGCCACTTCCGCGTACTGGTCCATCGACTTCACCTCCTCGTAATGGCGGTCGCTCGGTATCGTATCGACGTCCATGAATGTGCCAAATATCAGGTTACGTAGGCTCTGCGCCGTCAGGCTGTGATCGTCGAATTTCGGCAGGTAGCCAAACACCGTGTCGAACGTCTCCCTCATGTTACTTCCCACTGCGTCCTTGATCCTCGAGAACAACCAGCGCCGGTCGTTCTCGTCGACCAGACGATCGCCGAACACCCTCAACGTCTCGTGGACCCAGAGTTTCGTGAAGTCCGACCTGGACTGCACGGACTCCTCTTTGATCATGGCGCAGCCGGTGATCACCCGGGAGAAGTCGCGCAGATTGAAAAGATAGTGTGACTTGGCTGGTGTCGGTCGAAGCTCCGTCTGCGCTTGGTGGAATATGTGCATGGTCGCGTTCACGATGTCAAGAACGATCGGCATGACGGCCGTGGTGAAGCCATTGCGTTGCAGGCCGACGAACGCGATGTTCGTGAAGATCCTGAGGATGGTGTCGTCGGTGAAGTTGTCGATGCTGAACAGGTTGAAGTGCCTCAAGAACCTCTGATACAGTTCCTGCCTGCTGCCTCCTGGCGGTGCCATCGCGCACACGAACATGGTGTCGTGCACGTGGATGATTTCCGGCCTCTTCAGGTCGAACCAAATCTCGTGATCGAAGAACTGGCGGAGGAGCTCGATCGGCGGTTGGCAGCCGTACGTCTCTTTCGCCGGCATGTTCACGTCGTCGATGAAGACGACGCAGCGTGTGCCCGGCATCGGGCCGAATTGGTTCCTCCGCCTCTTGTACAGCTTCGACACGATCAGCTCGTGCGTCTGCGCGGCCGTGATGTGCGGCGTGAACACGACCAAGTTGGGCAAGTATCTCTGCTCGTCCAGCTTGTTCATCATCAGATCCTTGATGTAGAAACTCTTGCCGGTACCGGTCTGCCCGTACAGCAGGAAACGCTTGCGACGATTGATGTGCCTGAGGAACAAACTCTGATACTTCACCGTGTCGATGGTGGGGATCATCAGTTGAACGATACTGCCGGTGTCCGGGTAGCGTTGCTGCCGCGCCACGTCGGCGAAGCGTCGCCACGCTCCTCGCCCCCGGTAAGTGTAGAAGCAATCGTGGATCAGCTCGTCGGTCGGCAGGGAGATCAACGACTCGAGGAGAAACTCGGGGACCGGATGTTCCGTTTGCTCGTTCCTCCAAACGGTCAGATAGAAGGCGTTGAACGTTACGCGCGAGGCGTAGTCCAGGGTGGCAGCAGCTCCCCAGACCATCGACACCAGCATGGTCGCCTGCAGCCAAGGTACAACGTATTGGCCGTACGTTTTTGGATTTTCGTCCACCGCGTCCTCCATCGTCATCTCGAAGATGTTGGTGGTCGATACGACCTGGTGGATTTGGCCAGCGTTGATGGTGGTGCGGCATGCTCTCCGAATGAATTCCAAACAGGGCTCCATCAGCCAGTCGAACAGTTGCTCGATCTTCTCCTCTTGGCCGTCCCTCCACGCGGGGTTCAGCCTGTTGATCCAGGAACGGACGAACGGCCGCCAGCCGAGAACCCGCGGCTCCACGTATATCATGCCGCAACGGGACACCGTGGCCGGCGACGCGTGCACCAGATCCATCGTCTCGAAGATCATCGACATCGTGCCGGACATCTGTATCACCTCGCCGGAGGTCAAGCAGAGTTTCTTGTTGTCGTCGAGCACGGTGTTGAGGTTCTCGATCCACAGAGCGTCCACCGGTCCGTCGAAGACGATCCACTTCCTATCGGGCGTGTCCTCGCCGGCGTACGCTCGGAACACAACCGCGCAAATGCCGTCGGTCCACTCGGAGGAGACCGGGTCGAAGTATCCGTACAGCTGTTCCAGGGTTATCGACTTTGGATTGATCGTGTAGTACTTGGTCCTCGTGGCTCCTCCGTGGATCTGCTCGCCTCGAGCGTGCATCAATGTGAGGGCGTCGGCCAGCGTACGAAGCACGGAGGTCTTCCCACCGAACGGTTCACCAACCAGCATGAATCCATGCCGGACGATCATCATTTCGAACGTTTGTATAATCTTCAACAGGAAGCCGTCCACTGGTTGCAGGTTGCGTTTCTCGGCGACCTCGTGCACCGCTCGCAGCAGCAGGTCGTAACTGGGAGACGGGAGTTCCAGCCTGGGGAACAGATCGGTGACGATGCCCTGGAATAGCGGGACGTCGTGCGCTAAGAACTTTGGCAAATTGACGTCGATGACGGAGCGAAGCAGAAGCACGGATTCGTCCTCGTCTGGGAATTGCAGTTTCATATTCTGCGCGGCAGTCAGCACCGTCTTCACCGCTCGCATGCCGTAGTCGTAGTGAGACTGCGTGGACAGTTGCTCGGAGCAGAGTTTGTACGTGGTGACGATCTTGGTGGAGAGTTGGCGAGCGCTGCTGAACCCGGACGAGTAGAGGAATATCTCGGCGATCATCGCGTAGTCCGGCACCATCATCGCCACGCTTCTGAACAGCACCTTCAGATTGTCCGGCAGCTCGGTGCGACCCGCGTAGCCGGGATTCATCGTGATGCAAACGTATACGGCGGCGTTCAACTTCAACTCCGTGCCCTCGAACACGAACGTGTCCAAGGTGGCACGGACTGCCTGCGCGATGCAGAGTATTTGCTGGCCAACCACCGACAACACCTCCAGCTCGATTCGGTTGAACTCGTCGAAACAGGACCACGCGCCGCACGAGGCCAGACCTTTGAAGAACTTGCCCATGTTCTTGTAATCCAGACCCTCCGAACAGTTGAACACCACGCACTGTATCGCTATAGCTCTGCTCAGGTCCTTTGTCGTTTCCGTCTTACCGGTGCCGGCCGGCCCTTCCGGTGCTCCGTTCAGGTGCAACGAGTACGCAGCGATCAGCGTGCGGTAACATCTGTACGGACACAGAGATAATACCGTTTGGGATTTAAATATATAATTTATTTATAGAATTTATAGATAATTAATTTATAGATAATTATTAAACAATCAATTTATAGGTAATTAATTATTAGATAATTGATTTTTAGATAATTAATTTATAGATAATTAATTTATAGATAATTAATTATTAGATAATTAATTTACAGATAATTTATAGATAATTAATTATTAGATAATTTATAGATAATTAATTATTAGATAATTGATTTATAGATAATTATTAGATAATTGATTTATAGATAATTAATTATTAGATAATTGATTTA